GCCAATAGTTTGCCTTGTCAATCGATTTGGGTTGCTTAGTTGGCCCTTCGCTTTTGAGGTTAAATAGACTTTGCACTATGGCTTTAAGCGATTTTATGGTTTAAATAGGTATTATGTATATAAAAGGGTGACAAAATGACTTTTACTGCAACAGTGAAATTGTGAAACCTGTTCGGCGACATACAAGTAAAGGTTATAAAAATAATATATAAAAAGGGGGAAAAATAAAAAAAAATCAACTTGCCCTTAATGACATTTGTTTGATAATAAAAAGTGGAAAAAAGTAATGAGAAAGAGAGACCAAAGTCACTATAATAAAAATAAGCATAATAAAGGCATATCGATATATTCTTCATTACAACTTCGTTTAATCTCTGCACTTTGCTGCTTAAATGTTTCTGTTTTTTCATATCGTAGCACTATCAGTTATTCGCTTGTTTGATGGCTAGAATTGCTAAGACAGCAAGACAAATCGAAGGGAAATTAGTTGCCAGATATTTACATAAACATATAAAGATATGTGGATTGTCGTATGGCGGGTTTGGGCCGCATTTTTCAAGCGGGTTTTGAGCTGTGAAGATTTTCCCATAAATTTTTAATATTTATGTATTTTTTAAACCTCGTAAGCACAAACACTGTGAAGTATTTTTATTTACTAAAATATATTCATAAGCGCCTTGCGCTCTTTTCATATGCATCGAACTCAGCAGCTTCGTATTAGTTGATTATGAACACACTTATAGTAAGTTTCAAACTTCTTGCGCTATCTACATACGTTTAGGTATTCTCTTATAGAATTCTATCTTATAATAGTTTTTATATATTGTACTCCTTTTCCATTTGATGGCTTTAAAATTGCTTTGGTAGATAGCCATGCTTGGTGATGAAAATTTAATTTTATTACTTTTGAAAAAAAAAACTCATTTATATGCATGCTTATGACCTATGTGAATATTAGTTTTGATAAAAAATAGAAAATAAATATTTTTCGGGATTTTGAAAATTTCGGGATTTAGTTCGCCAATAAATTTTTATGATTTTTTTTGTTATATCAAAGAAAAAAATAGTGATATTGCTTATTTTTGCGCTTTTTTCAAATAGGATCTTTTACACGCACGTAAATTTGAGCAGAACCTCGGAAAATAGCATTAAATTTGTATTAAAAAATTTCATTTTTATTCAAAATGAAAACTCTTTTCTCGTGTTTAAAAAAGGTATTCATGTGCGTACATATATAAACATACTGAGCTAGTTAAAAATCTTCATTTTAGGTGTTTAGAAAATTACGGGATTGTTAGTGGCAATTATATTCTTTATTTTTATTTTTTTGAAAATTTGTGCTATTATCGGTAACTAAAACAATTAAATAGCCAATTTATTAAATTTTTGAAATTGATTTGGTGTATACATGATAAGTTTCCAAAACTCGATTATTTTCTTTAAATATTTCAAAACAATGTTGTAATAATAATCTCTTAACTCTCTATGGAAATTCATTGTTTTTATATTTTACGAAATAAAATTGGATTATATAATAACAATAAAAAAAAAATTAAATTGTCCATAAATGAATTTTCTATTAATTAAATTAATTATAAAATTTTATGAAAATATTGCGATTTGTCTTTTAATCTTAATTGACTTGACTTTTAAGGTGAAACGTTTCATCAGCGATGAGCTAAAAATCGATTTTTACATACCCATCGCTCAGTTTAGTTATGCAATGAAGTAAGCAGATCAATTTGCCTTAAATTCTATGCAAAAAGTATTTATATGAAATACAATTTATTTGATTTATATAATATCGAAAATTTGTTTAAATCAAATTAGTATCGAAATTAGTATCGAATTTAATCTCAATTAAAAAATTTATAAGTATGACAACAAAACTAAAATACGGGTTTTCCATATCTAACACTCTGCTATGTATTTATGCATTCAAATTAAAGTTTTCAGCTGAAAAAATTGCTTATAATTTCCAGTAAAATTTAAAATATAAATATTCAAGTAAACTTAATGTTATTTTATAATATAGGGTAATCCCGAAATTTTTCGTCTATGCAAATTAATATCAAAACCCTTTATTATTTAACATTTAAACAATATTTAATTAAATTTTCTCAAATATTTCTTGTTACAACTTTTAAGCAAAAGAAAAATATCAGAACTCGGGTTTTACATCTCTCACGCTCAGCTATGCACTAAAGTATGCAAGCTACAGCATTGAGCAGGAAAATCTACTAACGAATAAAAAATTAACTGTCCATACATACAGGTTGTGAGTCGATCATTATGGGCACGTATGCATAGACTAATCAATGTATATTCGTATGTACGAGTGCATACGTGTACATGTAAATAATGCACTGCATACACACATATATACGTTTAGTAAAAATTTATGTGTCTGCATAAACTTAAACATAATTGTCTGTGGTGAGTCTTGGCCGGCACTTGGTGGAACAGGTTAAACGCAGTGCATTCAAAGCGCTTAGGAGGGAATATCAAAAATATGTATGTATATAAATAAATATATGTATGTGTAAGTATTTATATACAAACATATATGCTTGTGTTTTTATAATCAAGGCGTTCATATCTCAAACTAAGAATAGGTTTAAAAATCACATCTCTCGTATAAATGTCGATTTTAAATGGAATATTTTAAAATTATGATTATTATTTTTTTCATTTTTTGTAGTCATTTGCATAAATATTGTATTTGTTGCTTTGAATACAGTTTCAAAGTAATTGTAATAGAACAGGTTTATTTTGTTTAAATTTGAATATGAAAAAAATTGAATTATAATTTGTTTACATTTTTAGTTATATATTTTTTGGTTATTAAATTTATGTAAAATATGTAGATTAGTAAAATGTTCACTTTTTTGTGCTCATATTGCACGTGATGGCATAAATTATTTATTTTTGAATATTCATTTGCCCAACTTATGCTTGCTATGTTGATAACAGTGCATTGTGAAATAAAAAGAAATTAAAAGCTGCATTCAAAATTGTTTCTCATGTTTTTAGTGATAATTTACATATAATTAAAAAAATTTAAAGCACAAAAATTTGATCAATCTTTAGTTTTTTATTCAATTGTATACTGTTTTAACGGTTATCTTGATGTAAAGAGTCTTTTAATATAATTATATTAATTTCATATAATACAGTTTATAAAGTACAATAAAACACCTGACAAAAAATTAAACAAAAATATGAGGAGTTTCTAAAATTCTTATTCCCAAAGCCGAAAACCTCTCTTATCTAGAGCTTTCACCACAGACGAGATTTCATAGCAAACGCTTTTTGTTTGTCTCCGCTCAGGGTCTGAAATTTCAACACTGCGCCTATTGGAGTTCACTGTTTGCCGTTTGTCCCTGTGTACACTATGGTGAGAGCTCTGGTTTTCTCTCTGTGCCGAGTATCATGCATTTTTTTAAGACGTAATCTTGGTTTAAAGTACAGATTTGAGTTTGCTGCACTCAAGGTGAAAGCAGAATAGAATTTAAAAATAACACAAGAACTCGAAGATAATGGAATTGAATTCTGGTCAAAAGCACTGAGAGAGTATTCTTAGTAAATATTCATTGAAGAAGACAAGGTACCATTTAAAAAGTATTAGAGAATTTTCGCTGCGTTTCCCACTAGATGGTGCTGATACTCTCTTGAGTCAACACCTACTTGAAAGCTAAAATTTCAAGCAATATTTTTTTGTGAAGACAGTTCTTTAATTAAAATTTCTCAAATTAAACTACTAAGGTTAGTTAGCTTTCTTACGACCACAGGAGTGTTAAGTGAGTACGTGGTAGTGTGTGGCAATTTCAGTCAGTGGTATCACAATGGACCTCTTAAAGGTCTAAGCGTATCGCAAGACACCCATTCCTCCTACCTACCAATAACTTCATCGAAACTTTCCACAAGCACTAATAAAAAAAAAAAAAATAATTTGTTAATTTTAACCAAAAATAAATATGATTTTTAGTTTTTCTTCATAAATTTTCTTATTACTGAATTAAGCTGATTAATTTTGCTGCCTGCGTATGTCCTTCGACCACTCTTGACGATAAACGATTGAAAGATGAGTAGAAAATAATTTAATTTTTTTTATATGAGATTAGAAAATGTAAAAAAATCTCACAAAGGGTTTTTATATGGAAGAAGGCCGGTAAATTATAGCAGACTTCAAGATAATAAATTCTTATATTGTTATATCAACCCATTAATTCGGTCTACAGAATGTTGGAAAATTAAAGGAGATACTCGTCCCTGATATATGTGTATTGCTGGGTGATTAATTTTCAGTTAAAACAACAAAATTTGAGAAAAAAACGTTTAAATGCTATTATCAGTACGGCAATGATTAGTGAACGATCGAAGTTGGTAGCTCAGCTAAGTGGAAAAAGGCACATCCCTTGATGTTGAGACCGAAGAAATACTGTTGTTCGACTTTCGGTGAACGCTAATTTGTTGTAAACTAAATTTTACTTTCGTTTACATTCTATACTATTAAATCGTTTTTCATTGAAGGTACTACTCATCCAGTAGAAGTATTTGACTTACCTAATTATTGGCGGCCGCGGTAGCTGAGTGGTTAGCGTTGCGTACAGACATTCGGAAGCCCCAGGTTCATATCACGGTGCCATCAACAACAAAAACAAAAATTTTCTAATTGCGGTAGCCTCTCGGCAGGGAGGGTCCACCCCACCGAGTGTATTTCGAACATGAAATAAAGACTCCTCGTAAAAAAAAACCATCAGCCGTTCGGAGGCGGCTGGTATAAACATCTAGTCCCTCCATTTGCTGGAAAAATATCAAGACGCAAAACCACAAATCGGAGGATTAGCTCGGCGGGAAAATCGCTTCAGCGGCTACAAACAATATAAATAATTATTGCATTCAATACTCGGTGCCTAAAAACTATGAATTAAAAGATATATATATGTATATTTTCGAAATTTGTTAATAATTTTATTTTATTGAATTTTCGTTTATAATTTTTCCACTTAAAACTATTTAAATTTCCTTACAAAATACATTTTACATGGAAGACAATGAATTTCTAAGCGCTAATTACCTGTATTTAGACTAATGCAAACCACTTGCAAAAGCTCAACTAAATTTAGGAAGACATAAATGATTTTTAAAGCTTTTAACCTAGATTGCTTTAGTTGCGCAATTTCACAAAAATTACAATTACATTTACTAAACTCGCTTATAAAAAAATCACAAATAAGACAAAGACATAAATTTGCCGTTACAGTTACTTAAATATGTAAAATTTTCACAATTGAATATCAATCATTTTTTTATATATACAAATGTACGTAAAAAAGTTATAGCCATAGCACTAAAAGCTAATATCACCGCAAAAATATTATATTTTTTTTTAAATAAACTCACACTAAAAACGCTAACTTAAAAGCATAAAATAGGAAGCTAACACCGCGCATGCGTGGCGGTTAAGGCGCAAATATGCCGCTTAGCTGGCGCTGCAAAGTGGCCGTTGCGCTTAAAGCTGCTACCGAATCCCCGTTCATCGACTGCACAATTTACGCTTGACCCCAACGGTCGAGCTGTTGACGTAATTGCAATTCCTGTTGGCGTGGCATATCGCTGGAGGTCCAGAAGAATGTGCCGTTAGCGGTGCGCGCAAAATGTACTGGTATGTAGGTTTGTTGTTGTACAGGCACCACTTGTTGGCTATCACCCTGACGTACAACAATTGCCGCCTCCGGTGCGCTTTGCTGCAATTCTTCATACAAACGCTGCTCCAATGCCTCATTGGCCAAATTGTCATCGTAGGCATTGAGTGCGGCCGGATCTTTACGCATATCTTCCAGGGAGGAATTGTAATCATTCTGTTGTTTCACCTCGGCGAGCGTTTTCTGCAACAACTGCTTCTTCTTGATGATGCGCATGAGCGGACGTAATAGTTTTTTAACGCTGCGCAAAGCCATTGTGCGCTGATCTTTAGCGGCGGCCAATTCCGACTCGTGGAAATTATATTCGCGTGTTAGGAAAGGCATTTTCACTTTGCTTATATTTTTGTGTGTGAAATGTTGTTTGTGTTCAATGTTTTTCTTTTTAGCAAAAACTATATTTCTTCACTGTACTTTTCAATCAACTACTTGACTCGTTTGCTTGCTGTTCGTTAATGCCAATCCCCAACAACCGGCAGCATTATTTATACACAAAACGCTCTGCGCTCGTGTAGCGTGTCGGCAATTGGGAAAATCACGATTGCACTCTTAGCAGTGCGCTCTCTTTTCTCTCTGCTCATTGGCAGCCAATCAGCGTACGCATTGCCGGCAGGTGTTTTTCTTTTGCTTCCAATTTGAACTCACCAACACTATTAGCTTTGACACAAACACCATCCAGAGCACCAGCACCAGCAACATCAAAACCTCCACCACCATTACCAACAATAGCAGCAACAATACAACAATATTGCGCTGACTGACTGAGTTGCCTCGCCGCGCTTGTATGCTTCTGCTGCCACATAACTCACTTGCTCCCTAACTGCCACGATGTGCATTGTTGTTGTGTTGTAGCGTTGTTTTTGTTATTTTATGCTGAGGCTGTACAGGATTTGGTGGTGATTTTCGTTGCTCGCTATCTGCAGTATTTCATTTAATGACTTTTGAAAGGAATTTTTAGTTTTTTTTTGTTTGTTTTTTTTTGCGTGGTGAAGTGCAACGAAATGTTGCCTTTGTGGTATAAAGGACTTTCTTTGGTGCGTTGAAAGGGATTTTTCTATTTTGTAAGTATTCAGTTCAATGCCTCAGGTGTGCTCTGTTTTTGGTTGCTTTCTAGACATGCTCGAACATGATTTCTCCAGTTGATTTCGGAGTTTTGTCAACCTAGAAAAGCATGAATTTATTCAGCATGGTGATTTAGGTGGCAAGCATTCATAAAGAGCCACAGAGAACACACGACAAGTAAAAATATTTGAAATCTTTTAGAGCTTCCTTACTTAATTTCTGTTGATCTGAGGCGAAATATGGGCAGCTGTAGTCAGTTAAACATCTTCATATATTTACAACAGCTTAACTGACTGCTGCAAGACCTCAATTATTAATTACCACATACAGGCTTTTTGGCGGATCTTGTGGGTTCCCGTCTTATTTTTCAATGGAACTTATATCTTCTGAACGGAGTTGGAACGACGTCTCCTCTAATATGTGGGAGGGCCAACGCAATTAGAAAAATTAACTAAGTTTTTTATTTAAATAAAGTTTCTATAATTTTTGGGTGTTGGTCGGACTAGACCTCCACTTTTGGGCTTCCGAATGCGGATGACAGACAGAGATCTAATCCTTCTCATTTTATGCTTATATCGGATATAAGAGGAGTAATAATTGGCTCTCGACATTTTGTATAGCGTAGGATTATTATGAAATCGACAGGGAAGAGAAAAACTAGTGGAAAGGAAATGTTTGACAGAAGATGAAGAAAGCAATGCAGAAAGTTAAAAAAATTAAAGCGTAAGATAAAACAATTAATTTATGGTTTTGCTCCTGGATATTTTGCAACACCGTAGATCCCTCCAGCTTATACTAAGCCGCCTACGAACAGTTAAAGGTTTTTATGAAGAGCTTTTGATTTTCATGTCACTAATACACTCGGAGGCATTGACATTCTCTGCCGAGCGGCAACCGCAATTAGAAAATTTAACTTAATTTTTATTTAAAAACATTTTCTATAACTTTTAAGATGTTTGTACGACACCAGAAATTTAACCCGAGTCTTCCGAATGGCAGTATGCAATGCTAGCCACTCGGTTCCTGCGGCCGCCACTCACATTACTGAAAGATAAAAATATGAAAAAAATTAAATATGGAGAGCATAAATTTGATCTAAATTCATTTAAAAAAAATATGTAAAAGTAATGAAAGCCGAAATTTTCGAACGGAAAATTTGGAAAAAAAACGAACGGAAAATTTGAAAAAAAAAAAAACGACAAAATTGGCATCAGCTCAGCTACGTCCCAAATGAGCCTGTTGTGATACCACTGAGGACTCCTACCCAAGGTGTGGAGTTTGGAAAACTAAGCAGTCGCTGTAGCTTAGTCACCGCGAACTCGCTCAAGTCTCCAAGGGGTTGACGCCTCTACAAACTTCTACCGATTCTTCTAAAGTTTGAGGTATTTTTAGAGAAAATGCATTAAGTATTCAAGTTCTGCTTCTTGTCTGCAACTTCTGTAGAAGTCGTTAGTCAGTACTGTACCCATAACTGTAGATATCTTCTTTCTTTTCAGCACGATAGACAGCACGTCTTATTGCACGCATTGAGGCTTCTATATCTTGAGTTAGTAAATTTAATGAATAACTCTTTTTAATGAGCATGCTCAGACTCTTCCGTAAAGGCTTGTCCGCCATCTTATTACTTGGTATGTTACTATTGCAGGAACTTATATCTGGTTCGAAGAGAACTACTTAGGTCCCGCGTTAAGTGAACTACTTCAATTCTCTACGCTTTCCGATTTTACTGTTACTTATTTTAGTGTTCTTTTTGTGGATACGATTTATTGAGAGTAGCATTGAGCTGGAACAATTGACAGCAAGCACCACATGTATGGCCACCAATTCGGTCTGAAAAACACTACAGTGATCTGGTAAACGTAAGGATACACATACACAGTGTATTTGAGTAAATACAGTCACCAACCCTGTCATCTAGTATTGATCTATCTATATAAAAATGAATGGAGTCTGTGCTTGATGTTCCAAAGATCTCTTTCTCTCTATCTATCTATGCCATTTCTCCCAGAAGAAATCTTCTTATCAGGCATTTTTTGTTGTCTTAGCGCGGCGCAAGCAGCATTGTGCAATCCCATAATGTCAATGGGGAATAATCTAGCAGGGCATTCATAGTCTCAGCTGATGTGTTACGAAGTTCTCCGGTGCCTCTGAAATTTATCGAATTTAGAGATGGTTGATTTTTTCTCGAATGCAGGCCACCAGCGCCGAGAATTATTGTTGCTAACTTTTTCTTTATACTGTAAGAGATTGACATCAAAGAGCAGACAGTGCGCCACAGAGATATCTGTTACACCCGAGGATCTTTAAAAAACTCTGACTCTTAACAGTCTGGTGGCTGTTGGGAAAAAATGAAGTGAAGTTTCGCTAATAAAAATTTTTACATTCAAATTAGATGGATTTCTGTTTAAAGAACTGCCAAACTTATTTTAAAAAACATTTCAAAAATCAATAAAATTTACACCCTATAAAGGACATAGTATGTATTCTTAATTTGTATACAAAATCCCTTTCTAACCGCAATAAATCCCCAAATTTTCATACAAGAAACAACACTGCTCTTGAGACATCGTAATTTTTCGCTGCTTCATTAAATCTTCACGGGCCTTTGCACAACTCTTACCAAAAATACAGAAATACGGGCACAGGAATATAAACATCGATATGGAATATATATATAAACATATATGTATGTATTTGTAAATATAAATATATTTTTGCGGCCAATCTACAATTTCTCGGAACAGGATTTACTGCTATGCTATGCCCAATAAGCGCAAACAAACATACAAATACATATACGAGTATGTATGTGTATACATACATATAAACACAATTGGAATATGAACGAACGACTTTCTGCCAACAACAATTCCTTTTTATTACCTGTGCTGTTGAGGCTATAAGCCTAGTGGCACGTAAATTCCAAAAAAAAGGTAAAGAGAAATCACCAAAAAAAAAAAAAAAACAGGAAGATGAGCAACAAAATTCCACTGAGCAAGTTCGAACATGTCCGTGAAAAATTGCAATTCGTTACACATTCAGACTTCAAAATGTTGCACGTGCAACAAAACGGCATTGAGGCATGAGGGATTTTTTCGTTTGTGTAGAGAAAGGATCAAACTGTAAGTGCTGAGGAAGTGCAACTACAGCTAATCCTGCCTTTAAGCACCGCAATGTACACATATGTGTGTGTGTGCTTGTGTGTGTGTGATTTCAGTCAATTTTGAAATGTAAAAATTTGGTAATAACCAAATCTCACCGACTTGACATCGAGTTGTCGGTGTTTTTGTGATTTATTTTCTAACTGAAAGTGTTGTTGTTGTTTTGCTGTTTGGCATTCCTAGTAGAGGTTGTTTAGCATAGATAATGTTAGTTGGTTTTCATGGAAATATGAAATTTTTTGTTTTCAATTTTAGGGTTTCCAATTTCCATTTTAACAAATATAGATTTACACACTTGTATTATATATATATATATACAGACGCACAGCAGGATTTGCTCAATTACTTTGAAATTTTTGCATTTGCACAAGTGTTGACGGCAGTGCAGGGAGTACAGGTCCTTTTTCCTTTTTCCATTTTCCGATTATCTTTCCTTAGAAACTTAGTATTTGAATTCAGTGATTTGCAAAATTTGTTTGTTTGTTACGAATTGGTTGTAAGGCCGGAAAATGGAATTTCTGTCGTACGGAGTCCAGATTTTTGGCTTTTTGAGAATTTTCATTTTAGTTATTAACTTAGGCTGGGGTTTTTACCAAATGCTGAAAGGTGTAGTATGCACACACGTGTGACAAACTGCTACTAATAATATGCATATGGAGTTCCTTCAAATTTCACACTAAAGACTTAAGCTACGAACCTGCTAACCATGTCGGTGTGAAAGGAATTTCCATTAGAAAACATGTGCTAGCTTATAGGAAAAATTATTTTATTTTAACTGTTTTGCATAAAAACACTGTATATATGAGTTTTGATTTACATGATTGTAATAATTTAGCAACTGGTTACAGACTAGTCCAAATATAACCAGTTAAAAACATGTTATTTAAAAGATATTTTTACTCTAAGATATTTTTATTAAAAAACAGTTTATGAGCAAGAAAAAAGATTAATTAGATTGAGCAGCATATGCATATACATACATATACACGTATGTATGTAAATATGTATGTACATTTGTTTGACAAGTGATCCAAATAAATTTTTCGACTGTATTTAGGCAACAGACAGTTGAAAAGGTATTAAATTACTATTAAAGTTTCAATTAAAATTTTTTTGCGACACTATTTAACTAGTTACCAACTAGTACCATATGGATAAGTTATAATATGGCTTTATATTATATATTCTAAGATAAATTTTGTGAATTACTTTTAATATAGTAGTGTCTAAGTAG